ATATTATTAATTTGAAATCACAATCATAAAATGTTTAAATTTGATTTTCAATAATAATAATAATAATAATAATAATAATAATAATAATAATAATAACAACAACAACAACAACAATTCAAAACATATCACTATGATTTAAATTTGTAAATATTACCTTTTACATTATTTATTATACACATTCAAATAATAAATTGAGGAAAGTTATCAATTTGCTTAAATTGCTCAATGGTCAAGTGAGACCATAGTCTTTATAAACATGTATGAGTTTACATCATCAAAATATTTTAAGATTTAAGGTTTATTTTAAGGAAAACTTGGTTCCACCAAGGACAATCAATGTTGGTTTGGTCCAAGGTCAGTTCCATTAGAACCAACCCATTTACTCACCCCTATACTAAAACAAACAGGACATGTTATCATGCCTCTCCTTTCTCTCTCACCCCTTCTCTATTCTGTGGTTTTTTTGAATTTTTATTTTTAAAATTGAACAGAATAACTCATGGTTCTTAAAACCAAACCGGTCAGGGGTCCGGTTACCGGTTTGAGCAGTCCGATCGTTCGACCTAGATGGTCGGTCCGTTCTAACAAAAAAAATTTAAAAATTTAAAAAATTTGAAAAACGGTCAAAACCATTCAAACAGTTCGAACGGTTAACCGGCCAGTTCAGCAGTTTGCTAACCAAAATCAACGATTTTGGGGGAAAAACGGTTTTGGGGAAAAACGGAACCAGTCAGGTGACCGGTTCCTAGTTTTTCTGGTTCGACCGTCCGATCCAGTCCAGTTTTGAAAACCATGGAATAACTTAAGTAGCCAATCATTTTAAGACTTCCATCTCTCCTCATTAACTCACCATTAACTCTCTTTTCTCTTATTATTAACTCTTTATTACCTCTCCTCATTAATCATGCCATTAACTTTTTCTCCAATTAACTCATCCACTAATTCTCTCTACTCTCAATTACTCCATTAAATTGCCTAAAATTTATTTACTGTTTTTTTTCTCTTTTTTTTTTTGAGAAAATGAATAATAAACCAAACCACAAATTTCAGGGCCAGCCCAACCTGCAATCAAATAAAAGTTTTAAACTTAGTTAATAGAGAAATATTATAGATTGTTAAATCACCCAAACATAATGCTTGGGTTGGGCATAGGGGGCTCTTTTTGTTTCAATTTCGTTTGACAAAGACCATGCATCACACATGCCCCAACTAGAAATCTAGATACTCACACACACACTAAAACAAGGTGAGCTAGGGTATGCTTTTTTTTGTCCTTTTCTTGAAGTCTTTTATTTTTTATTCCATGCTATATTACAGAAATAACCAATCATGAGTTAGTCCCACCAATTGTTGGCATTCCTGCAATTTGAATGCTAAGAGTATCATCCTCCCATGTGTTTGTTAGGGGAAAGAGAGGAGAGAGAGAATTTTACTCTTATTCAAATTCCATTTAATTGATTAATACTAAAATTAATAAAATGTATTAAATTTTAGCAAGACTTTATCTAAAACTTATTAAAAATTAAGAAGCTAATAAAAAATTAATAGTTCATGAATTAAAAATTAAAATATGCTTAAATTCCATTTAAAAATAACTAATATGAGTTGAAAATTTAAAATTAATTGGACTACACAATGGTGGGTAGCCCATTAGTCCATTCCCCATACCTATGACCCCAAAACCGTTGGTAGTGGGATCCAATCCGAAGTCTTTGCTATTAAAAGCCAGCGGTCATATCAATTGAGCCACCCATTAGTTGAGCTGATCAAGATCAGCTCCTTGGGGTTTAATTTCACTTAACAAAACTTATGCATCGCACGACCCCGACTAGTGATCAAATGATATAAACTATATAGTTTACCTTTTGAACTTAGATGGATTATAGAGCTTTTAAAATGGTGGTATAGTTATTGTAAAGATAAAATGGTCGACAATGATCTGAAGATGTTGATTTAGTGGACAATCTCTTATAGTTTCAATGTAAAACCCATCCAAAGTTCAAAGTAACCCTTAGAATCACAACATTGATTAGAATTATAATTCTCCAAAGACATGCAATCACAGCCCGAGACTCTCTGATCTTCATTTGGCAAGGAATTAATAAAGGTTAGGGTCGGATCAATCTTGACCCAGTTTTGGATAGGATTTGGATTGAGGTCACTCACCAAACCCGACCCAATGACATGCTAACTTTGAAACGTAACATTTGCAAATACTATCCTTGGTTAAATATAGGTATACAATTTATGAGATGAATCGGATTAGATCAGTATCCCATTTCCTTTATAGTTGGATCGGGGTGGGTTTGGAATAGAGCAACTTGAATTTGATCTAGATCAGTGCTAGAATCTGACTCATTAACATCACCACATTTTTTTCTGGAGGACTAGTTGAAAGGTTTGAAGACTGTGAAATATGAGTCAGGTGATCATGGGCTAAGCTGGGCCGGACTTTGCACTTATAACAAGGGTTATAGCCTAGACCTAGGCATGGCTCAGCCCAGGGTGCCAAGCCTGAAACATAAATCCGAACCCAAGTCTATATGGGCCTGGGTCTGATTGGGCCTTATTCTGCACGGCCGGGTTGGAATGGAATGAAATGATCACCCCTACCACCAAGTACTAATTCCCAAAACAAAACAAATAAGGAATTGATGTTTAATTACCATTACCTCAGTCGTTATCAAACGATAAGAGTATTATTCATCAAACTTTAGTTGGTTTGTATAATCTACAACCACAATGGCAGATCAGATATATCGATCCTCGTCGGTTGCAGAAGATTAAAAACTCCATTTTCTTCTACTTCTTGGTTTCATATATATTTTAATAATTTGGGATAAGGTTGCCCGGCCCAAACCTCCGGCTACGGAGGATTTGAATCCAGCCTTCATTTTCTTACCATTTGGGTGCAGACCAAAAAGAGCTTAATCCTTCAAAACTTGGGTGCTCAGGCATGTTTAGCACTATCTTATTGTTGGCTTGTGAGTTTGATATTTGAGCTAAAATCAAATTTGTTCCTCAAAATATTGGCGTACCTTACATTTAAAGGGTGTAAATGGACTGATTTTGGATTTGAGCCCGCCCAATCCAAAATCAATTTGGACAGATTGGATGGACCAATAAGACATATTGGATTGAACTAATTTGATTCAAAGTATTTATTAAATTGGATTGGACCTGATCCTTCCGTAATAAATTTATATTGAATTTGGTTGGATTAAACCAATATCCGGTCCATTGATGTAAGATAAGAATATAGGTGTCAATGGACTGGGTTTAGGTTGAAACCAATCTAAATCAAAACAAATTTGAACAGACTGAATGGTCCATACGTTGAATTGGACTGATCCAAAATATTCATTGGATTGAATTGGACTTGGTTCATTTATAAAGGACCTACATTGGACTGGATCAGATTGGACCAAATCCAGTCCAATTGACACCCCTACTTACACCAACCTCACAATACATTGCAACCTTCCATAGTTGCATTAGAAACATATTTCCATGAATGATAAAATTGAGCACGAAAAATGTTCTGTGTATGGTTGAAAACACTGAGATTGGTGTGAAACGCACTCCCAACTTGATGACAAAATTTGAATGGTTTATGAACAGAACAATTACTTTTGATACATTTTTTAATCTTATAAATTGTGTAGATAATAAATTTAAAGCATGTGCTTAGACAATAATTAAGCCAAGCAGCAAATCATCTTTTACATAGAACATGTCACCAGAAGAAATGGCTATTCGATAGGAAAGAACCAAAATAATTGGGAGGAATTATAGTTCAATTTCAGTATCATCATGTAAAAGTAAATGGAAATTTTTGAGTGTAAATTTGGTCCCAATTGATGATGGGTCATAAGTGATAACTAATTAGTATTGTTTTTAGGACTTTTTTTATTCAGTATTAGATTGGAAATGACTTTCTACCAACACTGGCGGGGCTGAGTGGCTGACCTAACTTCAAATATTCTATAGATGATTAGATGTTATTACCAAAAAAAAAATAGATCATTAGATATTAAAACATAATTTGTATATTTTAATAAATCTATTAACTAATTTTTTATAATAAAAAATTAATTAAATAAAAAAAAATAAGATAAGGGAATACAAGAGGGACCAGCCCAACAAAAATAGGCCAACAACTTGCAAACAGCCCATAAAAAGACTGACTCGACCCAACCCCAAATTCACTCAAATCAAAACCTCCCTAAAAAGAATTCGGATTTGCTAATTACAAGACATTGCTAGTCACGCTCATCTAATCATGCATCAGGAATATTGGCAATGTAAAGTACAAACAATATTCTAGATATACGGCCAGGTGAACATAATCAGCAAAGTACTGTGGTCAGGAGATCCGAACTACTCCCCCTAAAACCCCTACACCACCTAGCAGGAAAACCTACTCAAGCCGGGGATACCTCGAATGCATTTTGAGGCTTCACCCCTGCTTGAACCACCTTATTCACATAAATGTCCACAAGTTTCCTCAATTAGAGAGCCCATCATAATAGTGAATCTCCACATCTTCGTCTTATGTATTTGTCCTCACTTTGCTTTTCAACCAAATATTTCCCTGATTCATTCATCTGATCGCCACCCAAAAAGAACAAACCCAACTTCTTTCCAACTTTATGTCTACGTTAACACACCATTCAAGAGAGAACTTCCGCCTCAGCCCTGGTTGGATTATTGGGATGAAAATTTGTCAAATTTTCAATGGTCTGAACCCTAACCCAGAGCTTGATGTAGCTAACCTTACAGCTCTAATCAACCCCAACCATCAACCTGAGGGTCAACAGATACAGTCGTAAACCCTCCCACAATTTCATCAAAATGTATTGTTTTTATTGACATGGAAATTGACCAGTTGTTTTTAATTTAGAAAACAAAACCATTCAATTGTTTAACATAGGGGTGTAATTTGTGAATTGGATGGGGTTGAAAGTCAACCCAGGCCCAACCTTAAAGGTGCAAACTTTGGGCTCAGGACTGACTCAATCCAGAGTTCAGATTTGGTCCTTACAAAATCGTCCTCACAGCCCATTACAACTGTTCTAGGGAGATATTCCCAATGCACAGCTGCAATGAGGACAGTGTGAAAATGTTTTTCTGAGGACCGAATCCCAATTCCCCAACCTGAGCTCAAATTCAAGTTTATCAACCAAGCCCAAACTGAACTTAACCAAAACAACTCGGACTGGGCTCAAGTTTGCAATGTTGATCAGGTTTAAAAGAATTTGTGCATATATTTATATTTTTATATACTTATCCGCTCCATGCCTCCACGCAAAAAACAAATCCCCAATTGCTGAGCTTCACTTTTACAGAAATTTTAAATATTATTTTGGCTCAGTTTGGAAAGAGTCTAAATAAAAATATATATACTGTATAAAACCTTACATTTTATGTTATTATATATATATATATATAATGAAATTGGAAATTAGAAATTTACTCTAGTCCCAATTGAAAGCCGGACCAAAATTTTCCGTTACCCAATATGTAGAGTTTTCTCTCAACTGTGCCTTGATATATTGTAAGAATCCACAGTTAGTTAAGCTGGCCCTTTAGCTAAAATAAATAGAGTAGTTGTAAGTTGTAACAAAAATGAGCATCTTTCTGTGTACTGATCAATGTAATAAAAAAGTATAAAACGCCTATGTTGTGTATAATATTTTCTTTAGGTTATGTTTGGTTTAAAGGAAAAAGTAGGGAGAGGAAGGGAAAGATAGGAAAATCTTTACAAATTTTGTATGAGTTTTTTACCTTTTTCTTTCCTTTCCTTTACTTTTTCCTTCAAACCAAACACAGCCTTATTAAACAAAGTTTCTCTGCAACCCTCTGCTGCACAGAATTTGAAGTTCATTAACGTTGAGACCTATATAAAGCCCCTCCAGTTCTGACTTTTGATGAACAAGGATAATCATCCAAACCAACTGTGGCGATATGGAAACAACAACACTTGTCGTCTTTTTTCTCTCTCTCCTTGTCTCTGGTTTGTGATCTCACAACTTTTTGATTCAAGAAGTAGAGTCGTAGTTTTTACTTTTCAGTATTGGTGATGTTAAATTGACGATAGGAAATCTGTTTGTGTCGTTTGATTGCAGGTTCATACTCAGCCACATTTACCTTCACAAACAAGTGCCCATACACCGTCTGGCCGGGCACATTGGCGGGCTCAGGACCATCAGCTCCCTCGACTGGATTCGAGCTTGCAACCGGCGCATCAGCATCTCTAGACATCCCAGCGCCATGGTCCGGCCGGTTCTGGGGTCGAACACTTTGCTCCACAGACTCTGCCGGGAAGTTCAGGTGTGGGACTGGAGACTGTGCCTCCGGCCAGGTTGCATGCAACGGAGCCGGAGCAATTCCACCGGCCAGCCTAGTGGAATTCACCTTAGCAACAAACGGAGGGAAGGATTTCTACGACGTTAGTCTCGTCGACGGCTACAACCTGCCCATCTCCATCACCCCGCAGGGCATGTCAGGTTGCAATACGACGAGCTGCCCAGCTAACATGAACTCTGTCTGTCCACCGGAGTTGAGGGTCAGAGGATCAGATGGGGGAACGATCGCTTGTAGGAGCGCTTGCGACGCATTTAACGATCCCAAGTATTGCTGCACCGTCTCGTTTGGCTTGCCGTCGACATGCCCTCCGACGAACTACTCCATGGTCTTCAAAAACCAGTGTCCACAAGCTTATAGCTATGCGTATGACGATAAAACAAGCACATTTACGTGCACCAGTTCCAACTACCTCATCACCTTCTGTCCGTGATAGAAGCTTTCTAACCTTTTTTTTTTCCTTTTCACATTTTCACTGAAGCTTGAATTAATTAGACAATTGATTAATTATATAAAGGCAAAGCGGGTGTACGATTAAATCAAAGAATTTGATACTCAGGTTGAAATCGGTCCTTTAGCCAAGATTTAAGTTTCCATGAATGATTCTCTTTTTTGCTTATTTAAGGTCCCTTAGTTGGCCTAGATGAATCAATGAGTCGGTGACATAAATGTAGTAGAGTTCACTGAATATGATGTAAACTAAGCAACCATAACCTGGTCTTGGTTGTATTGTGACACATGTTGTGGGGTATAAGTTGGTGATGAGTTAGGAGAATGGAAAGAACTTTTATTTATTAATATGGAGTGATGCATCAATGAGTGGGCTCTCATTTTTAGTAAGTTGTTGTAACAGAAATCAAAATAAACAAAAGAAAAGAGTGGAAACAAAAAAAAAATTGAAATAAAACAACCCACAAGATTTAACATGGTTAAGCATTTTGTGTCTTGAAGATTTCTATGAGTTTCATTATTCTCAAGCAATTAGATTCCGTCCTATAGAGGAAAAGGCTAATTTTTACATAAATCGGATTTCTCAAGGTTTCCTAGTCCAGTAATCTGTGTACAAATTAGAACAAACGAGCTAATTTTACATAAATTGGATTTCTCAAGATTTGGCCCGACCTCGTAATCACTCAACGCGTGATAAAGGCAACAGCTCGGCACAACAACATGCCCAAGGCGCGAGCTTCGAAAGGAGGAACCAGCGGTCCGAACTCTCCCTTAGGCCCCGAGACATACAAACACAAAGGACAACAACCCGAACTGGCCTGACCCATGGCAGTTCGGGACACACCTCTATCCGAACTCAAGACTNACATACAAACACAAAGGACAACAACCCGAACTGGCCTGACCCATGGCAGTTCGGGACACACCTCTATCCGAACTCAAGACTTCACCTCGCCCACCACTCCAGCACTTCGCCTCCAGGACGCCGAACTGAACAACCGTACCATGCCTGACACCGAGGAAGTCCGTATCCAGGGGCGGCGCACCTGACTGACTTGGGATCTGACGCTTGACAGCTGCACTTCAACGGCCACCTACCACCGCCACCTGCCACCGCCATCTCCAGTTGCAGAGACGGCTCCGACAAAGAGAGCAGTGGCGGTTCTTCCCCAGCAGAGGTGATGACACCCGAACTGGCAGGAGCGCAGAGATAATCATACCCGACCTGACAGAAGCTTAGGAGTGGGTGTGCGAAGTGGTTATAAAAGGCTCCCTACCCCCAAAGAACAAGGTATGTGAACTTTGCGCCATCTGGTTTTATCTTGCCTTTGAGAGAGTACTAACTTGAGCTTCGGAGCAATTTCACCGGGTTCCTCCCCAGAGATCCCCCACTTTCTTTTCCGTTTCAGGCCCCTGTTGCTCCAGTCAGAGGCAAGATCGTTGACAACTAGGACCGGCCGGATTGCGCACCATCAATTGGCGCCGTCTGTGGGAACGCTTCTAAAAGCCTCCCTCTAAAACTCTCATAACCTCTTTTTTCCAAAAAAAAAACCAACACTCATGGCTTCTTCCAGCAACACCGGACGTGGCACGGAGATGAACACCACCGGGGAACAACTTCAAGTCCCCGTGGTGTGCATCAAACAATTCACCATCCCCCTTCTGGTGGATGGGATCCCCAGTCTGAATGCGCCACGAACAATGGGGCCCGTAAACCTTCCCGCCAGTTCAGGGAACCATCCACGTGATAGTGGGAGGTTCAATAGTAGCAGGCTGTACTTCGGCAGCGGCCCGGATGTCAGTTCGCGAAGCAGCCCGAGAAGAATAGAACCCTCCAAAGAGGCCAAAGACGGAAGAACCAATCTTCTTCACGGAAGACGATGCACGAGGTGTCAACTACCCCCACGATGACGCGCTTGTCATAAAACTAAGGATCAGCGACTTCGAAGTCAGGCGCGTACTTGTAGATTCAGGTAGCTCGGCAGACATCCTCTTCAAGTCGGCATTTGACCAGTTTCAGTTGCAGAGAAGCGAGTTAAAGCCCGCGAACACTCCTCTGGTGGGCTTTAGCGGAGAGGAAGTCAGGCCCCTTGAGAAAATAACAGTACCTGTAGAAGTCGGCACATGGCCTTGTGCGGTGAGACTCAACCACGATTTCTTGGAAGTCGCGACCCCCTCCCCATACAAAGCCAAAATAGGGCGGCCAATTACGCATGTCCTACGGGCAGTGGTCTCCACCTACAATTTGGCAATGAAGCTCCCTACAGACTTCGGTGTGGGGGTAGCGCGAGCCGACCAGCTTGAGTCCCGTAAGTGTTATGTTGCCGCCCTGAAGGGAAAAACCAAAGCGGCCGATGACCTCGAGCTGGAGCGGCCTACGGAGCAGGCGAGGAACGAGCTTCGCCCACAGAGGAAACGATCACAATCCTGACTTCGGCTATGGACCCGGCTCGAACGCTACAGATCGGTGCTTCCATCAAGGAGCCTCTACGAACCGAACTGGTGAGTTTCTTACTTCAAAATTTAGATATTTTTGCATGGTCCACGGCCGATATGCCCGGTATTGACCCTAGCCTTATAACTCACAAACTTAATACTAACCCTATAGTTAGACCCATTAGACAGAAGAAACGCAACTTAGCCCCGGAGCGCTGGAGGGCGGTCGACGAGGAGGTCGAAAAGCTCCTTGCAGCAGACTTCATAAGGGAAGTTCATTACCCGAG